CTTCGACTCTCGCAATGCTCATTATTGTATTGATATGCAGCTCAAACTAGAAGGCCTGTATAGGCGAAGTCACATACGGTTATGTATTTGCCGACTCCAGCTCAGCGACATACCCATTTAGTACGACATGCTGCAATGCCGCAAGCCAAATCACGCCGGCACTAGTCGCAGTCGCACCATCACAACTAGGACTTTGGAACAAAGTATTGAATTCTACAAATAGCTAGAGAAAGGATGCTGACCATACAACTCCCTAGGACTCTCATAGTTTTGTCTTAACCTATCGAGTGACGCTACGCCTTACAGATTGCTAGATATCCTCAAAATCAAACTTAACCAAAAGAGCGCATCTCGTTTCGTGACCCTTCAAGTCGAGCAGGCGGATAAAACTCCATCCCGGAGCAACGTAAAGTAACCGCACGGCGGTGACGGCATAAATGGGATTCTCGCTGAAGCTGATGTCGTCTTTTACGAAAATTCGCAGAAAGACAAGCTCGTTGTCGTCATATTCCCATTCCAACGTGTCATCCCACAGCGGATCTATCGAGGGAGGGTTATCGCCTTTATGTAGAAATCCAAGCTTATGCTGTCTATAGTGTTTGGTCTTATTCTTTTGATGATTTCCGTCGATGTCGTCGGGGTGCATGAGTGAGCATGTAACGTACGGTTTGACATCATCAGCAGCTCGACCCTCTGGCACGGGGACGTCTGACGCGCCAGCAATATGTAGACGCAGCTTTTTCCGCCGCCCAGTGTTCAACTGGCCACTGCCGCCAGCCCTCAAGGCTGCTGGTTTCAGAACGTAGCCTTCCGTTCCACTGAACATCGCTTCATTCAACTGCATACTACCACCGAATGTCTGCCAGTTCATCGCACAGATCTGCGCACCAACACCCCAGAACGGAAGTTGATTGAGATTTTTCGACGAGATGCGAGTGCCTTTGGGGAATACGCGCATGAGGTACTCCGCGTTATGGCGTGAAATCTTTTCATTGTTCACGGGCATCAGTTCATGGAGCCCAGTCTCGGAGAGGTTGATGAGATGATGATGAGGACCACCGCTTAGCTTGCTCTCAAACCACGAGTTGTCTCTTGGCTTTACGGACTGTGCATAAACACCAAGGGCCGCAAGTTCTGGGATAATTCCGCCGTTCTTCACTGCTTTCTTTCGTGCCTTATACGCCGCACGGGCGGCCCTCTCCTCTTCATCCTCGGAGCTAGACTCACTGCTGCTGTCATCATCGCTCTTGTCTTCTGCGGCCGGGAAGAAGTACTCGACAATCAGCACTATCTTGGACCCAAGTTCGTCCAGATATACCTGTTCATCTTTAGTTTCCTGCTCTCTGTGACCTTTTTCGCGGACGGCTTTGCTCAGCAGTCTGTCGCCCCAGATCTCTGTCATGATCTCTACCAAGCGCATCTGGCCGTGGGCACCACAGTGGTTTTCAAGAGACAAAACAATTGGCGCTGCACGATAGCCCTGTTTGTCTACAGCATCGGCCGCCTCTTTGTCGATTACGTCGCGGATAGACTTGCAAACCGCGCGAAATGGAATGTTTGAGACAAGTGTATACCCATGGGTAACCTTGGGTTCGTCCTTGTTCTCCTCGTTATCCCATGCATCGATCTCAACGCATCGCGCCCCGGTGAACAGCGCAGTCTCATAGGCTGAAGCTGATGATCTCCCCGAGAGTTGATGACCAAGGAGATAGGTATTGTGACTGGAGCTTATGAAATACTCGGTCAACGGGTGGGTTCGGTCAGTCAGCTCCACAGGGACCTGAATGTGTGGTTTTTCTAGCAGTGCTTCCAGAGCCGGACTCAATCCATCCGAATCTAGAGCGGCATAGCTCTCAGACACAACGTGGTTCCTTGCAAGAAATAATTTCAGCGCATGACTGATTCTCAGCTGGTGACTCGTGATCTCTGTCCGACGAGATGTGTGACCACCACCAGCGACGGTGAGATCGTCAATCTCCTGGCCGACATCCTCATCGTACTCGCCTCGAACCGATCTTGAGAAAGTACGGAGTTTAGCGAGACCAGCAGTAATAGAATCAGCCATGGTCAAATTCAACAAAGAGTCGAAATCCTCAGCTTTACAGGGGCGAGAAAGTATCGTAGACCTGAGTTTTAATACCTTTCACTGTTATATTATGCAGGAAGTTAAAAGTAAGTCATATGATTTTATCTGCGAGGCAGTCAGAGAAGACAAGATCAAGTCAGTCATCCTTCACAAAGCCTTAGCTAACAGCAAAGGATAACCGTTAAGCGCCCCCCTTAACGGTGTCAGCAGAGCCGTTATAGCCGGCCTATCACGTGCTGTGTGCTATTGGTAGTACCTACTACTGCTAATTTTAGTGTGCATAGGGCTGTGCATTAGGTGCATATGTAGTACCTGTCATTTACCAGCCCGCCGGATTTGCGGCACCTAACTCCCCAGCAGTGTAATACCTACCTGTAGGACTTCGGTCGCAATTATTTGATTAGCATAGACAATGCCCCCAATGATACCCCAATGATAGTGTATCAGACTATCAATTCAACCTTCAACTTATCTCCCTGGACTATCTCGTCCTTCTTCCCTATGAGCTCAGGGAGGTCCCATGTGACATTGACATATCTTCCCCCAAGCCATTCTCGCTTTTCTTTCGACAAATAGACGATTGAATCTGCGGCTAATTCGGGTGTCTCGACGAAAACTGCAAGTAGTAATTAGCATTCATGTTCTAATACACAAGCGACGGGCTGCCTACTGTGAGCTAACGCGTCTGGGACCTTGCCGTCTGGGCCGCTTGTCATGTCAGTGGGCACATTCCCGGGATGTATACTGAATGCAACAATTCCCTTATCGCTATACTCAGCGTTGAGAAACTCAGTGACTCGCAGCACAGCGAGCTTTGAGGTTTGGTACGCGCTATATCCAGGCGAGCGCAGCTGCGAGCCGACACTGCTGACGGTCACGAATGTGCTCAAACCCCCGGTCTCGAGCATGAGAGGGATGAGAGCACGCATCACCAGATACGGTCCCTTGACATTGACGGCCATGGTGTTCCACCACTCTTCCGGATCGGTATCTGCTATGGAGACACCACCAGTAAAGACCCCGGCGTTATTGACCACGACATCGATGCGGCCAAAGGTCTTCTTGATCTCGGCTGCTGCTGCGTCGATGCTTTCTTTGCTTAACACGTCCAACTTCAGCTCGAGGATCTTTGGCTCGGGCTTTCCCACGCTGGATGCAGCCGCCCTCATTGCTTGAGCAGTGTCACTGAGGTCAGATCTCCCGCCTATGGCAATCATCGACGCCCCTGCCTTCGCAAAAGAGACACTGATGCTCCTGCCGATGCCCCTGGTCGCACCGCTGATGAAAACAGCTTTTCCAGTCAGGTCGGCCTTAGCTGAGTCGATGGCAGGGTAAGTGTCATTATGAACGATTGAGGTCGTATCATAATCGCCTGCGAAGTAGTTAGTCGATTTGTCTGTTTGTAAGTGCCAAGAACAGTCGACCGTCATACCTCGACCCTCAAGTATGTTGTGGACACCCCTTGGAGGCGGCATATTTGAATTTTAGTTGTTGTTGTCGTGTCAAACGGGCGTTGCTTCTTGCAGCTTTGGATATTGTATAGGTACTTAAGTCTACTGATGTAACACGTTCACCTGCCCGACACTACTTTGACAGCGACCGGTCTTCACGACTTATATAGCTTCATTCCAAGACGACCCACTCAGTTATCGAGGCAGCAGAGTACATGTAGACGCGAAACGGGATACCGTTGCTCTTTGCAATCCGCAATGCATGATTGCCCTTCATCCACCAATCATCGTACGTCATAGTATTTCATCCTCCTAGAGAAAGCTTGAAAGACAGAATCACCTTCAAGTAGCTATGCAGAGCCAACATAACGCCCCATGCGTCATTCAAAATAAAGAGCAGTTCGAGGTCTCATTGTCCAATTATGAGCATCTACATCCAAAGATTCGTTACAACCGAAGGGACTAGTTCATAAACCCCGAAAGGGCAGATTTCTCCGCACTCAACGCCGACCAGTAGCATAGGTCCAGGGCGATCTGTTTCTTGGCACGGAGATAAAAATTGGGTGTGGACTATCGCGGCTTTGTAATCCTGGTAGTGTTCGCAGCGCATAGTCTCTGCTGACACAATATTCGACGGACTTAGTATGCGAACTCCACGGGAAGCGAGCTTGAATCGTACATAAACTTTAGTTTGCTATCTATCCTACATTTCAACACAGGGTTGCCAACTCTCTTCCTTCTAGGGCACTCCAGACACAGAAGGATAGAGAAGGCAAAGTAAAGAGCTATACTCCGAAGCTATTCAGTGAGACAATTCGGTGTCTGCTACAACAGATCAAGGCATCCGAACCTCAGCACATAGAGTTTGCTCGATAGAACGAACACCCGCTTATGAATCGGGAGACGAACTGAAAGCTGGATACATATGGGACGGCAGACCAATCACATACGAAAGTAAACCCGAAAACACGCAGTATACGTCCGCTCCTCCATAGCCAAGCCAGGTTTTCGGGACCGATAAGTTGCTCGTAATCGCTTTCCACCTCGGCCGCAGTCTCAATCGGTCCAACCATCAACATGTCACTCCTCAACATCAAGTTGTGTCGCAGTACACCATTTCTTTGCGCAAATGGTTCTCATAGTGAATTTGAGTTAACGGGTGATGTTTATATTCTTCTTCATTTCTCTTCTGCTTCGGAGAGGCTTAAACCGACCTGCCCCCTTCCTCCCCCGGGCTGTTGGGCAGTTTTTTAAGCATCGTTCGTTCTCCGCCTCTTTCCTATTTCGCAACTCCCTTATACGTTGGTCTTGGTTTACCTTCCGTAATTATAGCTTTCTATCCCATACTACCCTATGCCATTACAAATCCATGTTCATATACTTGTATATGTGCACACAGGGCGGGTAAGCTGCCTAGTGAAATGTTTGATAAATTGGAATTTGAGGAGAACGATCCTGCAGTAGTACTGATAGCTCAGTGGTAGAGCAATCGGCTACAGTTTCTTTAGGTATTGAAGGAAAGCCTCTGGTTGGTCCTCCTTTCAAGTCTAGGTCAGTGCTTTAAGTATCATACTTTACTCAAATTTGACATTCTCAACTTCTTTTTCCCACGTCTCTTTTCTTGAACGAGGTTCGATTCTCACAAAAGCATATTTTATCCAGGCTAGTTGTGCTGGTATAAGTAACCCTGGGTACTGATATAATATTGTACAATAACGCTGCAATCCCTACAGCTTTGCGAGACTTACAACCATTTTGAAGTGGCCGGTCATCTGTATAGGTTAAGAAAATAAAGTTACCTTGTGTGAAGTTAGCTAGGCCATGCCTAATACACGCGTTTGTAGTACATTTTTTTATCATAAATTAACGTTTATTTTCTCTTTTTCATGCGATATTGAACTCATTCATTTTTGATGTTTTGTTATTATGTCCCTAGAACATAGCCACTTGCACAAATTCTCAGGTCTCCAAGCAGGTATGGGTATTCAAGGGTAGCCTGTCGTCCAACTCTAGTCAGTGGCGGCTCCCTATCCAATTTCGCGATCTTGTCCCTCCATTCCCTAATCTTCTCCATCCACACCGTTTCTGTATCGGGCCGCAGCATGCCTAGCCCTTCGAGACCCTGACAGACCATGATGTTCTCCCAGAATCGCTGTCGCCAATCTTGCTCAGAGTGCTCGACGAACCACCATCCGTCGTCGAAGTCCCCTTGAAAGTCAGGGACGCCGGCTTTAGCTCGAAGCTCTTTATATCGTGGCCGGAAACGGCTACTTCGTATGACCCATGTCAATGCGAGGTTGTTGTTATGCATGTATGGCCTTTTGCCGTAGGCCTCTTCCGCATATGGGCCGGTTGCCTTGACGTGGCGCCTAGGATCCACGGTTCTTTCAGGTAGTTTTGAACGAGGGTAGGTGAAGTGTCCGCCTAGAAAACAAGCAAAGTCCGGTAAACAATATTTGATAAACTCTAATCGAGTTTCAATACTCAGCCTGCGTACGCTTGAGTCCTGATCTAGAATAGGGTTGAAGTCGGGCGCGAACAATTCCCCGTACATAGCCAGATGGAACAGGGTTTCAGAAGGCTCGGCCGAAATGGTATACGCATCGTCAACCCCTCCGTTCCAAAATCCGGGAGTTGTATACCATTGCTTGCCGACGCATTGATCAATGATATCAGCTACAGGATTGACGAGTGAGAAGCGCAATAAGTGCAGCTCTCTGATGCGTTCCATTGTTATTCCACAGTGGTCAAGCGCGAGCTCTAGAAGACCTTCAATGCCGTTCTCTAGCTTGAGTGCGAGTTCCTGTTCGTTCGCATCTGATTGTCTGGCCCAATTGCCCAATTCCCTTGCCGTGGCGGTGGCTAAGAAGTGCGGGGATGGACGAAAGAAGATCTTGGTTTGGGCAGCGGCTAGTCGCAGGACAATATTTGGGGTAGCCGTAGCCATGCAGTCTCTCAGACGGGTGCATGTTGACGCTGTGTTCATCAAGTCCTCAATATTGTGCAGATACTCTGGCAGGAGGACCAGAATATCCTGTGGAAGAGATAAGAGCCCTCTGGAACTCATTGCGCGATACGGATGCTAAGAAATGTAGTCAGTTTACTGAGTTTCGTGTGGTGAAGTCGAGAAGTCGTGCATTGAGATGCAGATCCCTATTAGTAACTGTCTGCTGCCTGCGCCCGGAGAGGTGGACGATCCCTATCCACGCTTGCCTCGTACAGTATGGTATGGTCCACCGAATGTATCACGCCGAAATATACATCACCTATGCTGCCGTATATACAAGGCATTTACTTAAGTAACCACGTAGGTATAATGTCTTGAGGGAATCAACTATTCAAGTCACATCAAGGACAGTGTGCAATGCTATGTCTATAACAATACATTTCGCTACATTGACCAATGAGACGCTGCCTACCATTATCAACGTGCTAGAACGTTAGCCACCTTTTCATGTTCGCCACGCACATAGCGCTTACAGACTGTTCCAAGTGGAATCCGTGAGATGTTAGCATTGCGCATAAAAGGCCATTAGTGTCACACTAACAAAATATCCGGAGATAATTTGTAAAAGACAGCACATAGCAAATGGCATTTAACACATACTTATATTTTAGCACTTAGCATTTAGCATTTAGCATTTAACATTTAATATCAGAAGCTAATATTTACCATAGCATTTATTTAATAGGTATATTTTATATTTAGCATTTGGCATTTATTGTCTATACGGACCTGGAGGTGGAGGGGAGGGGGGGGGTAGGTGTGGCCTAGCCACACCTGACCTACCTAACCTCACCTGCCTGACCAGGCCACACCTAGCCACCTTGGCTAGCCTACCTAGGTAGCTACTTTATACCTTCGACTTAGTCTAGCCTCTGTAACTTACCTAATTTTTTATGCTAGTTATAATAAATATTTAAGTGCTAATTACTAAGTGCTATCTTCTGAAAATTATCTTCCGAAAATCTATCTCCAACGTTTTGTCAGTGTGTCACTAATGGCCCACCGTCATTGGGTGCACAATGCAGTCTCCCGACACACTCCCGGCCCCGCATTAGCGCCGTCCTCGGGGTCGAAGCACGGTGTAGCCGACGAGATGCCAACTGCAGAGTGCATTCAGGACTAAGAGATCCTACAATATGCTCGCAGCACCAAACAGCATCCCAACACGCAACTAACACGTTGAACAAGGTATTCGGCCCAAATGGAGAGAATTGTGCATCTTCTCTCTGGGCGAATAAATACTACTATGTTGTCAATTCTTTTATTTAAATGCACTGTACTATTTGTGTTTTCTTTTGCGTTAGTCGATGTCATAGTGCGGTTTGGCCGCACCAGTGCTGTGTTATAAGACGTAATGTATACTTTTTGCGCAAGAGGCCGAGAGTAACCACACTGAAGATCTCTACTATATGCAATAAATGTCTTTTTTCAAAGATGTGGTTCGGCTACGTACATGTTATCAATGTTGTTAATGCCCAGTGTCGACCAACTTAAGTCTTATTAGTGTAGAGAAAAAAACGAGATCTTTATTTAATTTAAGGTGAAATGCCTTTCACTTTCTCTATCTTTGTGTGTTATACTTCTAAAGCATGTTTAAAAAAAAAACTGAGTACATCAAATGAATGAAACCAAGTACGCCTGAACATGATAATGTTGAAAAACAGGATGTTGGTTGGATCTGGGGGCACACAACATGAATAGGATAATCGACAGGCGGCATTGGATGCCGTGAAACTCAAACTTGGGCATCCACATCCCTATGAGAACCTGAACCTCAACCGTTTCTCGCATACGAGGTGCGTGATACACGGAACTGTGTAATTAAGCATTCCTATTGGGTCCTAAACTTGGATCCTTCTCGTAGATGCGCTGTCAGGTAGTATTTATTGCAAATAGAGGTGTCGCCATGTTCTCCCTTCCAACTATATAAGTTATGCTTTTCGATCTATTCTTGCTAACTAAAATCCTACCAACTACATAATTTCGGGTACGCTTGAACACAGTCTCGTCAGTTGTCTGAAAATCGTGTCATGTCTTCCATATTTTGCTGCTCATCAATCAAGGCGTATCTTCCTACTCGTCTTGACCACGAGGCCAACAAGAATCGATAAGATATTTCATTCCAGTTGATAGCAATTCGGCCTTCCTTGAAGTGACTGAGGACGATCTCCTCTCAGCGAACTTCAAGAAATTGAATTCGTAAAGGACCAAACCAATCTTTAGAAATAGATATCATTACTGACCACCAAACATTCATAGTTACAAGAATTTCAAGTGTACGCAACATACCAAGTTCTTTGAAATTAACTTGTATCAGCAGAACCCCACAAACGCGCACCATTGGCGGGCAAACCTCGAAGGCCCAGCCAGAGACATTGACTTGACACTCAAAGATGAGAAGGTCACACCGGGGCTAATTAGGGAAGAAGAAGCGGCGAGTCAATCACCCGTTGTCAAACCCTAGATGTCCCCATCTGAAACCCGTGGTCCACCTATTCCTGATCACCAGATGAGTGAAGTGGAAGTTCATGGAAAAGAGACTTTGGCCTAATTTCTCTTTATGTAAGAAGCCTTAGTATAGGGGTTACATGAAATCTTGTTGTCGCACGAAAAAGGGACACTTTAATTGCTCGTCTAGACTTTCATCTTTAAAGTCAATGCTGCAGTTCACTCTTTCGAAAGCTGGGGCAAGCTTAGGTTCAAACAGCCTCTTGACCTTACTCTCTTTTGACTATGTAAACAGAGAACTAGACCTTAATTATGAGAAGGTCTACGCGGGCGGTGACGACTACGCGGCCTGCAACAAAGAATGTGGATATTGCATGTAAATGTTGTGTTGTTGGTATGGAAGCCTCCAGGACTGGAGGTTCTGGCATCCGATGTTGGAGTCCCCCATACCACGTTTGCCCCACAGGGCGAAAGCCTTCCAAGGTTTATATAAACCTCGCCCCACAAAATTGAAACGAGATCATTAATTAAATGTGGCGAACAACGGAGTTATGGAGTTTATGGAAGACAGGCGAGACAGAGACAGGGGACATTACGCTTGCTACATGCGTTTTGGTGTTTTGGTGTTTTGGGCACACCGCACTCCGTGCACCATATGCTCGACATTCGCCCTCAATTTCACCGTTGCTTGGCCATTGAGTCCATCCCAACTCATTACCCAGCTGCATCACCCTCGTGAGTGAGTGAGTGAGTCGCCACCGGATGCGCGTCTACCACTCGGATTGAGACGTTTCAGCCCTGCCAGCAAAGCAAGGCGCACATCCCTGTTCTGTATTCTGAACCATCTATTTAGCTAGCTTAGCTCCCATCGCGACGGGTCGATCCGTCCCACCCCTAAGTTAGGTAGGTAGGTGTAACGGCCGTGGCGGTCAAGTGCGTGCCTCGCGCGCTTCAAATGGGTCTCGAGTGGTGGCACGACTTTCGTGAGCAGCACCCAGAGCTATGCGAAACGTGGGCGACGCGATGGGCACTTATCCACCCCTATCTACCGCCCGTTAACTTTATCACACTGCACTATGCCTACTTCATCGTCACAGCCATCATC